ACCAAGTAATGAATAATCTTCTTCAAGAGAGTTTGACAAAAGATTAATTGGCCGAATTCATATTTCAGGATGAGATTAGGTACAATAAACCATAGATAAACCAAATAAATTGATTACCTGTTGTAGGGAGAATTGTTCGTATAGTTTCATTATCAAAGGTCCTATAAATAGGGAAGTATTAGGGTTTACAGAGACGGGCCAATGGGCCCATAATACATAGTTTACATAGAATGATCCTATGACATATTCTATATACACGATAGCACACTACATAGAATTCCCTTCAACACTCCCCCTTGTGTTGAGTTGTAGATAGAATTTGGTATCTGTCTTGTTGTCTCGTCTAAACCTCTGTCAAGTAACAAAAACCCTGTGGGAAAAAATAACCTTGACTGGAGAAAAAGAGTATAGCATCACTATAGACTTCTTCCATTAAGTCTATCTTTATTTGATCCTTGCTTTGATTAATAAAGCGTATATGTATTGTTACCTCATTAAAAACCTTACCAAGTAACAAAACCCGATGGGAAAAATAAAACTTGGTTAAAGGAAAAGTGTGTAACGTAATGTAGATGGGGAACTCCCCCTCAAGTCTACACATATCCTTAATAGTTACACTAATCAAGGATGTTGGGAAAGTTCATGCATTCCAATACTTGTCACATTACTTACCTTAGCGAAGCACACAAATAGAGGAATATAATTCCTTTAATTCTCCCCCTGTGTGCCGAGTGTAAGGTGATTAATGTAAAAATTATTAACTTGTTAAACTTGTTGCCAATGAACAAAACCCAATGGGAAAAATAAACATCGGAAAAAGGAAAAATATGATGCACTAATAAGCTCACGTCAATTACTTTTGACTGCGATATATTAATTATGTTCTTCCTTCAACATAGTTTTACCTTTGCAAAATTAAAGTGTGGGATGGTGCATATTGTGTTGGCTCAATTTTTTTTTTACCAAGTAACAAAACCCAATGGGAAAAAATAAACCTTGGTCAAAAGAGAAAAAAAAATACAACGCACCAATATACTTGATGATAAATAAGTATGTAAGGTACTCCCCCCTGAGTGAAAACACATCAATACTTGATATATACTTTTATCAAGGTATTATATATATAACATCATGGTTACTTGCATGATAAATATATACTCATTAGCAAAATACCAATGAGGTAAGGGGATGCCATCATCGATAAAACTCAAATCACATTACTTTGTGATAGAGTAATACTTTTGATATTTTAAATTCCTTTAGAAATATTGTTATCATCAATCATTCAATTCAATGTATAAGGGATGATTAAAGATTACATCAATCGTTTCATATAGATATTGAAGAACATTCTTCGTACCATTCCAATGACGATCATACGGTGTGTTGGTCCTGAGCTACTTTTAGCTAACACATTATTGAGAATGTAATATTTGATCGAATGTGTTTGTCAAAGTACAATCACGCGCATATTGCACTTACATAGGGAATTCCTTCTCCCAACATAGTGGATCTTTTCAAGTATCCATATTTCGACCGATCATGGGAGTGCTAACAATTTACATTTATCCATGTTAATTTTCCTGAGAACTCTTTTGGATATATGTAACTGGTGAATTAATATTCAACCAACTCGGTGTTTTATCTCAATTATGTCTATATCATGTAGATATAGAGATATTTGGAAACAAAACTTATTTCCATTATAAATGCGCAAGGCATAATATATTTAATTTGCATCCCTTTTCTGTGATATTTTCTTCATAAAAACATAACAACTGCTCTTAAATAAGATTGAGACATTTATTTTTGTCTCCCCAATCTTTAGCTGCGTCTCCATTACTTTGGAGGCTACTTAGAGATTAAGTAGTTGAACATTTTTGTGTTCAAAATAGAGAAGTGTAACTTTTCATAGTTGAATCCAGTGTGTAGTGAGAATAATTAGGACCTCATTATCTCAATACGTTTTCTAACAAAGAATTATATTATGTCCTACAGGCTTTACACTTGGTTGATTAGCACTATCACACCAAATACCTGTCTCTTTGTCAAATATTAAATTTATAACTGGATTACTTATACGCATTTAGGCCAATATTCTCATTGCTTTCGTATTGCAATAGAGTATGGTTCGATATCATCGTGCTCTAAATTCCTTTGAGCAATCGTAGAAATATATAAACAATATAAGTGTATGGTCGACTCATACACACTCTCATTAACATTGAGATTTTAATTCTCTGGAATCATTTGAACTTCGAGGCGTCCCCCATTATTGATTCATGGACATATTTAGTCAGAGATAATCTCGTGAGAGGAATTCATATGATGACGAATATATTGGTTTGTGCCTTATCTACCCTCTAATATTTGGGGTGGATAATTAATCGAACCATGTGGCTTCCCTCTATTTCTTTAGAGAGCCACGGCCTCAATCACAACCCCACTGCTTGTGATTGCAATGCTTCTTCCTTTAGCATTGTTAATTTAAATTCAAGCCTTATAAATATGTTTGCAACAAGTGTGTATAATCTGATTACTTAAATCATTTACTTAAACTTCAATGTTACATTTTGAAGTATAAGATTTATCATTGAGACAAAGTAATGATGTACCATCATAATGATTCCGTCATTCAATTAGAGAGTTCTTTCTCTAATCTTTCCCTAATGACAGGAAAATCAATTATCTCATCAAAGTGGTATTCCGCAGAGCGGTGTACACATTATCTGTTAAGGCTTGTAGCGGATTATTATTGGAGGTTCATATCCAACATAAACATCATTTGTCTTTTAAAACCAATTATAGTGCGCTGTGGGAGGTGCATTAGGCACAATTAGTTAACAACCATATATGTATAAGTAGAACATCTCAAGCTAAGATCCAGTCACCAACTGCTATATACAAAAATGGTTGTCTACTATCGGTCTAAAAAAAACAAATGTGTAAGGGTGCTTGCAATATTGCATAATCCCATGAAAATAATTATATATACGTGTACGCATAGTAGATATAATATTCATCATCTATATTCTTTTAGATGTGAGTTTTAGTGAGACTTAATTTTTACATGGGATGCAAGATGATTGTCATTGATCTCGACAGATATGCAATACTCATCAAGTTTCCTTGTGATGAGAAACGTCTAGCAATAACAAGTCACATAGACTTGATTGGTCGGGTGGTGAGCCCTTAAATGAATAAATTTTGCTAGAATCATTGCAAATGCAACATTTTATGTATCAAGAAAATAGATACCATCAAGAGATTTCTACCAAACCATAATTACTTACATGGCCCGCATTTTGGTAGATAAGTTCTCACGTGTCACATTGTATTGAAAAATGAGACATCTTTATTTTTATATCCTTAGCATAGACAAGTCTCGATTCTATTATTGCTACGGAGTAAACTTTAAAAAATAACTTACATACCTTCTAAAATATTTGTAAGGCATAATGGAGAGTAAATATTTCTTCTCGTACTTCAGAAGATGTATATTGATTTGTTATTAAGCAATGCTAAAACCAACAACTTACCTTGTGTTGGATCCCTTTTATCATTTATTCGCATAATTAATGATGCGTCAGTTATTTTAAAATTTGTATGAGTCAATGCCCATTTTGACTCATAAATTTATGAAATATGCATTTTCTTTTATATTTATTATATGTTAAATGAGTTTCTATGTGAATACCCATTTTTATAACGAGTTTCTATGTGAATACCCATTGAGAGTAGCCCAATGGGTATTGATGTCCAAGCAATGTGAAAGTTCAGAGAAGTCTCACATATGTGTATAGGGGGCAACTCTTGTTACTTTGACAAGAGTTCACTCACAAGACTTGAAATATTCCATTTGAACACCATTGTGATGGACAAATTTTGGCAACTTCCAGATGCAGTTCGAGGCCAAAAAAAACATATTCATTTAGATATGAAATATAGAGACAATTCATTGCCTTTATCGATCATAAATGAATAAAAAAATCAATCGACAAATGTGCATTTCTTAGTTTATCGTGTATGGCCACAATTGGTTTAAGCACTTATTTATTAGAGGTTGTAATAATTTCAAATGTCACTCACATACTTTAGAGTGCTATTATCTGAAGCAGAATGAGGTACATATCATTCCATTATTACATGTATGTGTTTCTTCGTACACATTTGTTTTAACAAGCACATAAGGATCCATTTAATTAAGATCACAACTCGCTCAAATTATAACTTGAGATAAATTAGTAAGATAATCAATTTAAATTCTCGTATGAGTAAATATTATTCATACTAAACTTTAAGACATTAATAAAAGTTTAATTAGAGGTAGCAAAGTTCATAATTCTAAAACTCATAAAATGGATAAGTCCAACAAATAGAGAAGGTTCTTATTCTCAACATAGTGGACATGGGACAATAATAAAGCACAATTTATTATATTTAGGCTTTTGTGCCGTGAATCTCTTGTTCTTCAAAGATTCTTTGTCACTTCCGGCCAATGGGAGTATAGCGAATGGATTTTTATCCAATATTCATATCACCATAGATATTCCTTGGAAGTTTCTTTATCCAAGTGGAATTCTTTGTGTGACACACTATACACAATAAAAATACATATGTTATTGATCGGCATGTGACAACACAATCATAAACTCGTTGAGACATATTTTACTTTAGTGCCAACACAATCTAGATTTCTAAGTAGATTGAGACAACACAATCTAGTTTCTAAGTAGCACCGGCTGTTAGTGCCACCAACGGCGAAAGAGGAATACGACAACGTGTTATAGGGAGAATTGTTCGTATAGTTTCATTATCAAAGGTCCTATAAATAGGGAAGTATTAGAGTTTACAGAGACGGGCTAATAGGCCCATAATACATAGTTTACATAGAATGATCCTATGACATATTCTATATACACGATAACACACGACATGGAATTTCCTTCAACATTACCATTATTATGTCCTACGTATTCACTATTCAGCGCTTTAATTCCAAAGAGTCGGTGCATCATTATTAATTCGTCAACATATTCCGTATTATTTTGTTCCTTGAAATCAATTATTCAAAGTCGCTGGACTTTCAGTGCAACAGTGATGGCTTTTCTTCCTCTTCCAACAAAATAGATAAATACTCTTCGTCTGCCTTCCTTGGACTCGCACTTCCAAGGCTCTCTCTTCGATCTCCTAAGGTTAGCTTCCTTCTCTAATTACATACACATTGGCTTATTTCAACTGCAGATATTCTTGCATTGCAGTTTAGATTTTGAATTGTTTTCCTTTGAATTCTGGATTTTTTCTTCTTGCTTCTGTGTTTTTTTCTTGAAATTTATGCTGAAATCCCTAAGATCTACAACGTTGGTAGGCTAAAGATTTCGACTTCAACGAAAGTCAGATTTTTTTTTGTTAATATTATTCTTTCACTAAACAAGCAGCTGAAAGTTAAACTGAATTTATAGTTTTTGTAGTTGTCATACAGCGTAATTTTTGATCTTTTCCTTCTATTATTTGGTTCTTGTGGAATTAAATAATGCCCAAATGCTGAGATCTGAAGGTATGGGTACTGGGTAGTAAGAAATACAGGTATGGACTTTTTCGCTTGAATTGATTTTATTATCTTACCAGATATGATGAGATGAAATTCAGGATAAATCAGACTTTAATAAATTAGATCCGACTTAAACAGGTTAAAATGGTCAAATTAGACCAGATAAGAATTTTTTTCAAAAGACCCTAAATGTGTTTTACCCCTTTCCTAAAATATACTCCTTCTGTCCCATAAAATACTTCCCATTTATCATTTTGGGTTCTTCCAAAAAAATCTCATTTCTCTTTTTGGATAGTTTTGTCTGGCTAACATTTATTTACCTATTTCTTATTCAAACATAATTATACGTTTTCACTTTATTCACATTTTCTTAAACTCCGATCCAAGTCAAACCGAGAACAATTTTATAGGTCGGAGGGAAGTAAATAGGTTTTTATTGCAGTTATGTTAGCATGTGGTTTGGGCTTATATATTTTTTTTTAACTAAACACTACGTAGTATTTTTTATCCGCTTGTTAAATTTGTCCAAAAGCAAAAGAAATCAGGGTTTCTTGTATTTGTTGGCAGAAGTTTCCGAAAAGAATCATCATACATTTCTATACTTTCTTCTTTATTTTATCATCAAAATAGTCCCATGTCCCTAAATGAGATGCAACTTCATTAATCATAAATTAACATACGAAGTATGTCCTATTTATTCTCTGATTTTGGTATCAAACTTTTATCGTATATCAGTTGGTCTTTCGGCTTCAACTCAACTTATAGTGTAATTTTTGGGTACATAGATTTGAATTAACACTAATCTGTTATTAGCGGAGAGTTAAATTATTGTAGGTTAACCTTGCTCACAAATTCGGACCTAGTTTTAGGGTGGATGTAGTATTTGGAATGTATTTTTTTCACAATTTGTTCAATCAAGCCACGCTTCAGGTCTTCAGACTCTTCAGTAATTTCATTTTAGCCATTTTAAGCCTTACCAAAATGAATCCTACTGGATTTATTAGGCATTAGGCTTATTACTTTGGTGAGAAGGGTGAATGCTTAGTGCACTAAGATATGATCCTATACTAAATATGGAGCATTGAAAACATCACTGTGTTCTTTGTTGGATTGGAATCTCGGGGTGAAAGACATGTAAAATTGATTTAATGTATAGAATAACATTTTCAACCTCCATTTTGATAAAAACTAGCGTTGCATAGTAGATACTCTGTAATAATTAACTTCTACTCTCTTTGACCCTTTCTACTCCCTACGTCCCTAAATATGAGGTTGTTTGGATCTGATTTTTAAAACTGCTTCTACTCCTTCAGGGAGCAGAAGCAGAAGTTGGTGTGTTTGAGTGAAATTGCAGAAGTGATTCTGGTGCTCTAATTTACTCCTAGAATCAGTTTTTTTAGAAGCTGGGGGAGACTAGCTTCTAAAACTTATTCTGATTCTGCTTCTGTTTTAAAAAAGAAGTAGAAGCAGAATCAGTTCCAAACACCCCCTATGATGGTAAGCTGCTCAACTTTGAATAGGATATTGAATGCAAAGATACTTCACGAAATGTAAGAATATTGGAGTATTGGCCAATTTTTTTCACATTCGTCAATATAAGTAATCAGGTATTGCATACCTGTAAGCAATATCTATTTTGGGTAATACATAAAAGTTCTGCTTACTTTATTACCCCCATTTCATATACTACTATGATGTAGTAGTAATCCTCAGAAGTAAATGAAGGTTGTCACATTATAAAGTTATTGCTATCCTTCCGTTCAAATTTTCATAGCATCCTCTGTATAAATTCTATATACCTGAGGTAAACAAGAAGACCATTTATCTGTTTTTTTTATTGAGATATTGATTAGGATCTTGCAAATGCAGGCATTCTAGTTTGCTGTTCATCCTGTCAGAACACAGAGGGGAAAAGAGAGAGAGATGGAAAACAATGTTGTAATGTTTGCTATTGCTAGCCTGCTGATCTTCTTCTCATCATCAATAAACGCCCAAAGTAGAATCTCTGTGTCTCCTGCACCGGCTCCAGCAGCCCCAAAGCTTGTGAACCTTACTGATTTGCTCACTCATGCCGGCCCATACGCCACATTCCTTAACTACGCCCAGTCCACAAAAGTCATACAAACGTTCCAAAACCAAGCCAACAACAGTGATCAAGGAATCACTCTCTTTGTCCCCAAAAACGAAGCTTTCAACAACCAAAAGAAACCATCCCTCTCTAACCTGACCACTGACAAGCTGAAATATCTCATGCTTTTCCATGGAGTGGCCAAATATTACACTCTTGCTGACTTCAGTAACCTCACGCTACTCAATACATTTTCTGGTGATGCTCTGAATGTCTCTGATGTATCTGGTACGGTGTACCTCAAATCTGGATGGACGACAACCAAAATCAGCAGTTCAGTGCTTGCTACTCGTCCTGTTGCGATTTATGAGGTTGACAAAGTTCTTCTTTCCAAATCCATCTTTGGGACGAACATACCCCCAACCCCAGCACCAGCACCAGCACCGGATGCTTCTTCTCGCCCTACGCTTGCTGCTGATGCTCCAGGTTCTCAGGAAAGCGATTCATCATCGCCTCTTGCTTCTTCACCTCCGTCCTCTTCTCACAAGGTTATGATGAGCTTCGGTCCTCTCACACAGGTGGTATTGGCAATGGCTGTTGCATCTGCCTTGTAAAATTTTATGTTCCTCTTTACTTGTGCAGCTATGCCAATGTAAGAGAATACTACGTATTCATGTTTGCCCCATTCATATTGGTTCACTTGTTCCTCATTCTTTTCTTTTCTTTTTGGATCCCTATGTTGGCTTGGTGAGAACTCATTTGTGGTATTCAATTCACTCGTCTGAGCCATATGCCATATTCCATATATACATATACTTTTGTAATATATACATATACCTTTGTCTTGAGTAAGCTTGGATAATAAGAAACTAAATAAAACCCAATTGGAATAAGAAAAGAACTCACGGTTGCACCATTAATTATGATGAAAATATGGTTGGAAAAATACTGCTTGCTTGGAAAATGTGGTGAGTTATGACAATAAAACTGCTATAGATGATTACCACCAAGATAATAATATTCTCGTATTTTGTCTGAGAAAAGTATCGGTGCTCTTATTTTGAAGAGAGATTTTTCCACCAAGATAATAATTTACTCGTATTTTGTCTGAGAAAAGTATCGGTGCTCTTGTTTTGAAGAGAGATTTTTCAAAATAGGAGTATAAGTTTTGAAATTTCAAAATATGATTATTGTGTTTCCTTTCTCAAAATAGAAGTAACATGTTATATTTACTGTCATTTTTTAGTCATTACTATCAAATAATTGCAGTACAAGAAATTCAACATGACAATATTCACTATCATTAATTTCTGTATTTTTTAATCATGATAGTAACGACTTATATTTCGGGAAGAAAAAACATACCAGTTCTATTTTGAGAACTGTTAGTAAGACTAAATCATACAAAGTTTACAAGATTAGGACTCGGTTACGTTTTTTTCATCCGTAAGCTTTATTTAGTTCTATTTCAGGAAACTTAATTTTTAGTTTCCCTTTTTACCCCCAAACGATCAATCTCTTCCACAACGATCATGTCTTCTTCTTCTTCTTCTTCTTCTTCTTCTTCTTCCATTCTCCATCTTAATGGAATCCATCGTGCAGTGACGTCTCAATGGAAAGTCATTCGGCTATGAAATCCCCTTCCGCATTGCATCCTTTCTCTCACCTCGTGCCATTCGGATCTGTAAGTTTTCAATCTCGGTTCTTAATTCGTTGAGTCAATATGTATGTTTTCTCAAGCTACACCAAAACCAACTTATCTGATGATGTAATTGTTGCACTTAGAAAAAGAATACAACAGGGAGGTCGGAAGTTATTGAAGCTAAGGTTTGGAAGGGTTCAGCCACACTCTCGATGGCATATGTCGGGGCCATCTTTGCAAATGCTTGCTTCAAAGAATTGAATGGAGTTCCTGATGTTATTGAATGTTCCTTTGCACAGTCAACCATAACTGAGCTTCCTTTCATTGCATTCAAGGTGAGACTTGGAAAAAATGGTGTTGAAGAAGTCTTAGGGTTGGGTTCCCTGTCTGACTTCAAGAAAGAAGGATTGGAGAAACTGAAGCCTGAGATTACTCTATTGAACAGGGAATCAAGTTTTCCTGTGAGAATTAAGAAACTTACTCCCCCTTTTGCATCGAATGTGATTTGGAATTTTGAATATTTTTGGGCATTTGTTATCAAAGTCTTATTTTTGTTCGAGTCTCTGTTAGTGGCTTTAGATTTAGCCATTTTAAATTCATGCAGACAAAGGTTACGATGAAGTTCTGCTTCAAATAATATTGACGTAATTGATGAGAAGATATGTTAATCATTTTCCTAAAAAAATGTTTTCACGCACATACGTCATCGGTTCACACAAAAAGCCACTAATTCATTCAAATCAGTTTCTTGAAGGATTTTAATTGGTTTGTTTCTTCCTCTTGATTTTCATTTTTGCACCCTTCTTCCTTTATCTTATTAATTTTAAGTTGGTTAATTAGTTAAGGTTTGATTTTATGCGCCCTGGAAATTAAACTTATGAAAAAACGTACGATAAAAATGTTCGAGCATGAAAGTACGAACATTTGAAAATATCAGTTTCGTGTGAATTTGTGATCAGTGGTCTGGAAATGGATACTTTTGTATGTTTGTGCATGAATTCTATTAGGCAGATGGATAGGGAACTGATGATGTGTATTGATATATCCTGTAATTTAGAATTTAGCTAAACAAGAAACCGCAAAATGAGATGGACTACTTTATCTACCCTGTTGATGAAAGATTTGACTCCCCTCATAATCTAGCGGCAGCTCTCAAGAAATTCAAAAATTCACGCCCACATGCGAAAACCTACCCACCCTATCTGCAACATGCTATCAAGTTTCATAACAAGTTCAATCGGTCCTTTTCTGCATTCTTGAAATTCCTCATTTTAATTTCAATTGTTGATGTAATCTAAATTTTCTGAATGCTTTTTTTCCCTTGTACTTTAAACTTTTATCTAATAAAATCGGGTGGTGTTCCCCGGCGCCACGACCACCACAAGTGGGTTTGAACCGGGAAAAAAAAGTTCCACTCTCATCACATTAGTGTGCACAAAAAAAAAATGACTTGATGAACTTAGAAGACACACATTCCTCTTTCAGTGAAGATTCAAAAGACAACTTAATGATTCATATGAACACTTTTTAGCATTGTGTTCTTCAAGTAAGGCTCTCAATTTTGATTCAGACTCTCATTTCAATTTTTTGTTTGTTGTTCCTGATTTCGAAGTTCTTTCTAACTTCCATCATAATCGTATAGTTCCATGTTTTTTGTGTTGATGATGAATGCATCTAGGCTGTTTGTGGAATGATGCTTTCAGAAAGTCATATGTTGCAGATTAGAAGGTACAAGTTTTGATTTTACAAGTGGCGTGTTGTGTTAATTCTAAATTTTATATACTTTCTTTTATTTTATTTTAATGTCTGTTGTACTTGTTTAAGGACTATTTAGTGTCTATACTTATACTACCTCTGTCCTTTAAAACATTGCCAAGTTTGACCAGCACGGGGATTAATAAAGTAAAAACTATGTGGTTGAGGTTTGTGCAGAGGAGAGAGAATTAACTGGAACCACAAATTCTTTACTTAAAAGGGAAAGTAGCAAAATTAGTGGGATATCCAAAAAAGGGAAATTGGCAAAGTTTTAAGAGACGGAGGGAGTATGATATTTTGTGTTCTTCTTTTCAGGTTACATTCTAACTATTCCTATTCAATTGATTATAGATAATCACATCATCAACAATCCACATCTGAAATTATTGCAGAACTTATAAAGTTCCGATATTATTAAAATTCTAATAATATAGTGTTGACATGAATAGAGATTATGGTGGGACGCTGAACAAGCTAAAGAAGACTCTTGCTCATGGAGATATTTTGGTTTTCGTCTCGGATCGACATGATGGAATTATTCATGTAGCAAGAACAGGATCTCCACACGCTGAACATGGCTACGTTGCCCAACACATTTTAGGCAATATTAGAGCAAAATTTAGAGGATCTACTACTCGTTTTCCATGAAAGTTCACTAGGTAGTCAGGTCTACCACAAGATCCTCCTATTCGTGGTTATTTGTTGAAGTTCAACTGGAGAATTTGGTTACCGACAACGTTGTTTAATTACGTTGTAAGAAATGTCGACACAATAAGAAGTCTTGCAGGAATCCTATCCTGATCCGTAGTTCTTAGTTTGATAACATTTTATGGATTTAGTTTTTTATTTCCTAGAATAACATTTGTAACTGCCATGATTTGGTGGCATTGAAATTTATGTTAATTGACAATTTGACATGACTTTTAGTGTTTCAGTTGATACACTTTTGGTTGTCATATATATTTAAGTAGCGGACATATTTAAAATTAATGTCTTCTTACTATGTATTTAATGACTATCTCGCTTGTTTATATACACTGTCTAAACCAAATTGCACTTAGCAACCCACTTCTTCCCACTTAGTACATTAACTATGTCTCGTCATGTGTCACTAAAATCTCCGACTTAATATGGATCTGTAACAATTGGTGTCCCACGTTTTTTTAGTTCTCCACCTTTAAGAACTCCATGTTCATATTCAATGGGGTATGTATTATAATGTTATACTAATTCTTGTACTTTACTTTAGTTATACTAATTTAATGTTTAAAAAAAGACAATGCACATAGTCATATTTCAAAAGAATTTTTTGAATAACTCTAAAATAAAACTACATTTTCTACCTTTAACAACTTTATATTCATATAACGTGATGTGTATTTTTCTTAGCTTCATAGATATATTTAAGCATTATTTCATCAATTGAATCTATTAAATTTCATATTTGCTTTATACTTTTGTTTTAGCTTTTATACTTACTTTAGTTGTAGGAGTTTAATGTCTACGCATGTGTCATTAAGGACTAATTAATGTCTACGTTTGCATTTTAATTTTCAGTTGCATTTGAATCTCCAAATTCCTGGTTCCAAGTTCCGGCCTGCAATACCGCGAAGATAGAGGAGTGTTCTGTCTGAGAAACTCACGAACTTTGTTGATTGATATGATAGAATTATCATCTTTGATCGCAAATCCTAATGTCAACTCAAACCTATCACGGAAAAAGAGGAGGAACATCAGCTTTTCAGATTAGACCATGTTCAGACGTAGCCTACCTGTGTGGATGGACTAAGGTGGAAGAGTCAGGCTGCTCAACAGATCTACTCGTCGAAGCTTGTGGATACTTTCCGTCAAGTCCGTGAAGAAATGAGACTCCATTTGCTGTGGTTGATGGCCGAACTATTTGGTAGGCTGCTTATGGACTCTTCGCTGTCGCCACCAAGGGAAGAACCAGATGGAGCAGATCGATTTGGAAGCTGATTCTTCGTAGTCACTTACCCGCAATCTTTTCCATTTAAGCTTTCTGCAGTTTTTTCTGTTAGACGGTGAGACGTGGCGGTTTGAAAGGAAATCCGATTCAATTGAGTTGCGGTCTGGTAATGGAATTTAAAAGTAAGGGCATAATGGTCAAAGCAAGTGCAATTAAGTCTTATGCTAAGATGTAATCCTAATTTGGGAAAATTAGTATGATTAAGTCCTATTTGTAAAATTTTCCCCTTATTTAATCTTATTTAGGGCAATTTCACTGTTTTGAAATGCAACATTATTAATATTTTGATTTTTTTAAATCCCCCTAATATGCATACGCACATTTGTGAGTGTTGGTAATTAGAGTGGTACAAGTAAAATCACAGTAATACCATCACCATTAGTAATAGAGGGTGTTTGAAATTAATTCTACTTGTCAAAAAATGAAAGTAAAATCAAGAATTCGTTTTTCTAAGGTTAAGTTGTTCTCTCTTAATTTCTTAAAACTATTTTGAGAAGCAATTGAGAAAACTTATAAGTATTTCAGTAATT